TGAAATGAGAAAAATCAAGTTATGGGCATATGTGTGTGTATTCGTGTGCGTGTGTGTGTGTGTGTGTGTGTGTGTTGTGTTGTGTATGTATAAAATCTTTGAAGAGAACCACATTATAATTGCATATCGCAGAAAATGACCAATGCGAGCACAACGGAAGAAATGTTTTTTTTTTTTTTTTTTTTTTTTTTTTTATTTTAAATTTATTTGGATTTTTTGTATTATGAGGGAATTTTAATTTCTTTTTGTCTTTCCTTTTCTTTATCTTTAGATGATTTCGTTTATCACTTAATAAGCGATTGGCGCGAGTAATGAGGGATTCTGTTCAAGCCACATACACATCTGCCATCTCATATTCGTAAAAAGATATATTTTGCATACTATTAAAGATTTCATTAAAAAAATTTCATTAAATTATTTCTCAGAGGAGTGTAAATGCATATATATATATATGAATTTTTTGTCGAATTTTTTTTTTTTTTAATAATGTTCTGCTTTAGTTCAATTATTACTGGCCACTAAAAAGAAAGAGAGAGAGGAAAAAAAAAGCAGAAATTTTTTTCCTTTACATATAAAATACAAATTTTTAATAACTTTACTTGAAACTTTTCTAATTTAATAAACCCAAAAGCAAAATATGAGTGGTTTGCCATCCACAAAAGCACATAAACCTACGCAAAGCAGTATCAACATTAACCTTGATATCGTCGAAAGCCAATGGGAAAAGTCAACTTAGATAAGGCAAGGAGACGAATCTCGGATACTTATCGACTTTATTAACGTATACCTATTTTGTCAATTTCGATGTAGTTGGCAGATAGTCGATCGTGACCATTTGCTATAAGTTCTAAGCGAACGTTTCTATTGCAGCTAAAGCTGATTAGTTACATTAATATATGAACATAAGCAATTTTTTCCTTCATTTTTGCAACCTGATGGACCTAATAGACGAAAATTTTGACAACGACTTCTAACCTTGTGTTGATCTCTATGTATGTCTTAAACGTATTATTGGATGTGATCATTTGCATTGTAAAGCAATTATACTCCAAACTTTTGTAGTAGATTTATGAAAAAAAAAAAAATTTATTTTGTAAAAATTATTACGCGTTGTAGAGATTTTTTTCCTATGGTTTTCACGTCCAACGCAGACGACGCATAAAAATTTAATTTCAAACAAATAAAATGTTTCCCAATTGGATCTTCAATTCATTTATAAGACCCTTCTGAGTTTAATATATATATATATATATATATATATATGAATTGAATTGTTTATGTAGTTGCAAACGAACAACACATTTTATAGAAAAGCAACGAAATTTATTTTCGTTTTGAGGGTACTTTCGGTAACCATTATCCATCACGTTTTCAACTTAAATTTCATTTATTACTGTAAATCCTGCAATCCTGCAAGAACATCAAAATGTATGATGTTATGCACATATATAGCTTTTTTTATCTCTACTCGTCATATCGTAAGTATATTAAATTTTTCTATTTTTGTTAACGCATGAGAATATAGGCAAAGAATATTTCTTCAAATGTATGTATTCTTCATAATAGCATAATAAATTAGATCTTGTCTGACTGCAAATTGAAATCACTTTCGCTATCTTAATAGCTGATCGTGTCTAGAGATTTTTCTCAATATTCTTCTCAGTCTTTGATTTTCAGTTTTTGCAACACTATCTTTTCCCTGTTTTCTAAAATAAGCCAAATGGCACGATAGTAAATAAATTTCTTGTTTGATCTGAGTGTAAGCTCCCCTCTTTCTATATGCTCCTTGCAAACTTGTTAATTCATTAGAAGATGTTGATAAATCGTATTCCAATAAAAAATAACTTTACTACAATCTGTTGAGCAAATTTCAAGTTATTCTTAACGTTTGTAAACGGTCCTACGCTGTTGACCTTCAGATTTTAGATTTACATTGCCAGCATGAATGATGGACGTACGGATAAATGACAAATGAATTCTTTGCGAAAAGTATTGATAAGCTTCGATTGCGATGAACAAACAATTTAAAAAACATAGCTCGCCTGCACAGGAAATATGATTTATACAACAACAAAGAAGAAAATTGCATTCGTCTTTGGCCGAATTTTCTACGCACGCTACTCTTAAATTAAAAAAGAATATATAAATTGTTGTTGTTGTAGTGCACGAGTAACGAGTAAAAACCATTTTTTTCCTGTGCTTCTGAAGGCAGCTGGGTGCTCAGTTTGTGTTTTACTGCTGGCATGGTTTCTGGCCTGTTTGCCCAACTTTAATATCAAGCTGCGTAAGAGAACTTCCAATCAATTTGAAGGCGATATTTTTGTTTTTGCGACCAGGAGAATGTGTGTTGCAAACGTTTTGACAATACGAATTTGCTCCCATCCCTCGTTACTGGGTATAAAGACAAAATAACAACAACTTCTGCAAGCTTTGCTAAGTGTGCAAAAATCGTACTAAGTTGTATAGTAAACTTATAAGTAGTTCTGGTAAACATGGGCGTATTTCGAATAAAAGTGCAAGTATTTCAAAAAAAAAACATTTTTCAATTCGTCCAGAATTTCAGCTAAACAAATACATTCCAAACCATAGTAATTCTAATGCTGAAATACTTAAAAAATGTCAATCTAAGACTATTTATGATGACCTGAATTTTCCACTTATTAAAAATCTGTGATATTGGCAGGAAAGTTCCCCATTTCCTAAACAAAAAAAAAAAAAAAAAATTCCAAGCTGTTTGACGTCCTCCTACTCGAATGGTCGACGCCCAGCTCCTTTGCAGTTGCTCTAGTGTTTAGATGTGAGTTGCTCTCCAATAATGACCGAGAAGATTGAGAATAAAATCGCAAGTTTGGCAGGTCCACATTTTTTAAATTTTACCCAACATGTAACATAGGTTTTTGCAAGGAAGAGATGCATTGCTCCCTTTTGTGGAGCTCACATGTAATGTAATATCTTAAGTAAATCTTATCTACTGTCATGTTTTTCACTCTGCACGTCCCAACTAACTGATGAAAGTAGTCCTCTTGTATCCTACGAGAGATGCACTATATATACGCACCCATATGACGAATTCTATCTGATTGCCTTGATCTGATAAATAATATTATTTGCAACTCGTAAAATATTGCAAAACTTCTTCAAAATATCTTGTCAGACTGATTAATCACGCCCATCATCACCACCCTTGACAATATCTCCTGTTGATGAATCCAACGAATCAAGAAGATTGAAAAGGCACCATGTACTGAGTAGTCTTCAATTTAAAAATCAATCGATTTTTGTTCTTCAAATCATTTCAATGAATTGTTGTGCCCCGCATCACTTGTGGTGTAAAGGTCTACTAAAATTTGTGTGGATGCTTGCAAGACGCAGAAAGACTTGCGATAGACGCACCTTTTATTGTACCGATCTATTCAAAATTACTTTCTGACAATTGCATGACACATCTATCCGTCTTGTTTTCTTGTATTCACTCTACAGTTCGCAATTTTTGAGATATTTGACTTGAAAGTGGACACACCGACATGATTTGAAAATGCTTTTAATCGGATCACACATTTACTTTACAACTTGGCATATAAAACTTTGTTTTAAAAAGTGTTGTCTTAAGCGAAACGGTGCAGGGTATTTGATTGTACGTTGTAAACCTCTATAGTTTCTTTACTTGTTTAAGTTTCTTGTAATTTCTTTTTACTATTTATTTAAACATCATATCTGTATTGTTATATTGTTTCAATGGGGGACAATAACTTCTGTTACTTTTCTCAGCTTACCTTAATACTTATTTATTATCTTTTTAGAAAGTTTGTAAGTTCAATATGAAATAAAAAAAAAGAAAAAAAACAAAACAAAAACAATTTCTTAAAGTATTTTGAATTCTGTAGTTGACATATGGTATCTTACATCTTTTTTTCAACTTGACATTTTGCTGTAATTAAAGAAAGCTTTACTTTATGCTTCAAATCTTTGGGAGTTCGAAGCTACTGGGAAGAGGAGGAACGGTAGGTAAAGGGCAAGTTTCTTATGCTTGTTTTTCAAACTAGGCATTGCTTTAGTTTGTTATAATCGATAAGTTATCGATAAAAATATTTCGAATTTTTCGCAAAAATATTTCATTGTCTGTGGCTTTGCCGACTAATCAGGCCTGTTTGGTACTACGATCTATGAAAGATCGTGGACCGGGACCGGGTTCATTTTCGCGAAACTGAGAATTTCAATTATTATTAAATGCGAAGGCAGGATCTTACTGGTCCTTCTTCTTCTTCTTAAGCTTGCTTTTAGAAATAACAAAAAAAAGAAGAAGAAGAAGACTTGCTAAAATTTTATGACTTGATTCAGGATTAGTTGGAAACTAATTTATTCAAATTGTGAATAAGGGCAATAATTTTGCCAGTTCGCAGTGATCAGGATAGCGGGAAACTTTCATAGTAATTATCTTTTTTTTATTATCGCAACGACTTGAGTGAAACTGGTAGATAATTAAAAGGATTTTTACTTCTGCAAGTTACTTTATATTTATTTATTTTGTCTTTCTTCCCTTTTGTCTATTGAGAACAAATGGCAGGGAAAAGGAACAATTATGAAAATAATTGTCTGAGTTTTTCGCTTTATATTTTTTTTTTTTTTTTTTTGTGAAAATAAAACAGCAATAATTATAATAATAAATAAAGAGGGGAAAGCAAAAGTTGTTTTGTATGCACATCATAAACAAAGTCAAACAGTTAACGTGTTCAAGAGCGGTTATGGAATTTGTTGTTGCTTAACACTCATACTATTATTGTTAAGTGCGTTGCATTACTTGTGTACGTGAGTTTGTGTATTGTTGTAAAAATTATTGAAGTGTTATACAGCTGCATAAGTGCTCGAAATGTAATTTATTTAAAAAATTCTTGTTGTCAACATTTGATTCGTTAACACCTACAACCCGCAAAATTCTTTTAAACAAAAGATTTTTTATAAAAAATTATTTGATTGTTTTGTTATTTTTCTTTGATACGCAGACAACCTTCAGATCGTAAAAAGGATCATATAAAACGTCCCATGAATGCGTTTATGGTATGGGCGCAGGCAGCCAGACGAGTAATGTCTCAACAACATCCACATTTACAAAATTCTGAGCTGAGTAAATCTTTAGGCAAATTATGGAAGTAAGTATGAAGTCATACATTTATTCTTTCTTTATTTCTTTCTTTCTTTCTTTTTAATTAGATATTTGTTTGTTTGTTTGGTTTTTTTTTGTTTTTGCTTTAAATTTTTTTATTTATTTATTTATTTATTTTTTTTTTTAATGTCTTGGTATATTGTGTGTTCTATGCAAACATTTATTTTATTTCCCGTGACATTTTCAAAAAATTAAAATTTTATGGTTCAGTTCATAACAAAGGAGATAAGACATTTTGAATATGTTAATCGTGTGTCTATATATTCGAACGCTTCATTTAAAATTTATACGAAAGATAAGTTGCCTATCTTTATATCAGTGATTCTCTAGTTTTTTTTTTCGTTTTTCTTTTGATTACTAATTTTATTCATTTTTGAATTATGCCTTTTGTAAACATATTGGAGATCGCTGGTATGCTTATATTTAAATATATATATGCATAAAAATATACGTGTTTTTTTTTTTTTTTTTTTTTTTTATTACACCGCGCTGTAGCAATTTCCTTGAAAGGTCAAACTACAATTTTCGATGGCTTGTAAATTTTAAAAATTGTTCAGATTAAATTGACCCAAAATTATACTCGCTTTCCTGCCATTTCGTAATTTACATAAATATATATACGCTCTTGAAAGCGCGTGCATATACTTAAGCACACTACAGTATATCTATCCACTTCATATATATATATATATATATAATGACCCAAAAAACCTGAGTACGTTGAAGGGAAGTGCTACTTCCTTGTTTATTTGTTTGTTTGTTTTTTTTTTTGTTTTTTTTTTGCTCATCTACACAAGGGAAGTAAATAAACGCCTAGGAAGGCATAGCACTCTTTTAATTAACCAAACAACCTACTTTTTTTTTTGCATACTTTTCCTTAATTAACTGAAAAAGCTGCAGTCAAAAGTAAAGTTTAAAGGTTTCTGGAAATATAATGTGAAAGAAGATGAAAGCAAATTTTCGATCAGGTTGGCTGATGTGCATAGAAGTGATGAAAGTAATATACATATATATATATATATATATATGCAATGTATATACGTATATATACTGTACTAGGAAAGGGGAGCGAGAGCGAGTGTGAAAAAGTGATGAAGGGGAGAGAGAGAGAGAGAGAGAGAGAGAGAGAGAGAGGCAGCGAAAGAAATTACTTGAATACCTTTAAACAAAACAAAATTCAACGCTTTCAATAGAACAATTTCTCCACACCTAGCAGTCATTCAGATCGGCTTATATTTACTTTTACAACGACGCTCTATGGCACTGGAAATCTTGCAATGAACTAATGACGTTTAACATGAATGATAGATATTTGATTTCTTGAATTCTGTTTACCCAGCTGGTGGTATATCGCAACTGTGTGCTTTATACGCATTGTAGCGGATATATATTATAGCTGCCGAATGTTTTTAATGCAAAATCTTATAAAATATAACCTGGTTCGCCTTTACTTTCGAACAATGTTGTCGGACATATATTGTATTCGTTCCATTGATGATGCCCCGCGATAATGGCTCCGATATTCTAAACTTTTAATATTTTTTAGAAAAAATTTGCTTTTTTAATACATACATATATAATCCTAATATCTCCGTCAAAATACATTATTCCATTATCTTTCCTTTTCTTTTCATCCCAAAAAAATTTTTTAAAAATCCCTTTTTTTTGGCTCTGTTACAGTGCTCTTAACCCTTAAAAAGAGAGAAAGATTTTTTATATGTTCTCAAATTTATAAAAAAAAATTCCTAATCCTTTTTATACATATATATATACAATACAATTATTGCCTAGTTGTTAAAGGGAACTTTGAAACTCAAAATGAGCAAATGCGTTGAAGGAAGTTAAAGAGTTCACTTAATGAGGGATTTAGCAGCATTTGAAACCGTCAAGAAACGCTCGGCTCCTCATTTGTAAGTGACCGATAACTTGTTTATATTCATTACATATCAGTTTTGTAACTCATTCAAGGGTTTATGGTTTTAACAAAACCTAACGGTAAATATCAAAGAAGTTTACATTCAAACCGAAAATAGTTTTACTCCTTTGATTTTCTCTTTCGATTCTGTACGAATATCTGGGATGATAATTTCGGACCTAACACTAAATCACTAGCATGTAAGACTCACAGTTTTTCATGACTGCGAATCTAATCATTTGTTAATTTTAGAAATCTATTGTGTGTGTTTTTTCCAAACTCACTCGGCACTGTTGTGCCGTTTCGCTATTTAAAAGCAGTTTCGAAGGGCAATGTACTTTGCTTTCATAAAATTCTTAGAGAAAATTTCAAAATTATCAAAACTATTGATCATGTTAATATAATTCAATAAATATAGGAGGTGGCTGCCGATTGACGTTGGGGATCTGCGTGTTCTCTTACAATTCTTTCCGCTACTAAATCGTTCGCCAGAAAAATAATTCAATTAATAGAACATTAAATTAAAACGTTATTGTCGAAGAAAGTTGATTATGATATCTCTTTGGCCAGGACAGTCCTGTTATAAAAGCTTAGCTTTCATGGGGATCATAGGAGTTCAGAAAATATACTTACAGGGTCCGAGCTTGTCATACTTTGTATAACTTGATGCGTCCGTCTCACTATTTGTGTCGATTTTTTATTAAAAAAATTTTTGGTAATTTCATGGTAATGGGGGAGTGATCATAAAACTTATCCAATTCAATCGCATTGTCAATAATGTCCGCCAAATAATTTTGTATATCAAATTTCGTGGTTAAATTGAATCAGAAAATAAATCTGCCATGATTATAATGGAATAAATGGTAGCCTTTTTTGATTTGGTTGATGTATCACACATCTCGGAAATTGAGTAAATCCCTAGTACATCCTAGAAATAATGATGTAATACAAACTAACAAACCTTTAAGTTATTGTTAAGTTACATTTACGCTAAGCTAACAAATAATCAAAAAAAAAAGTTTAAGAAGAGTTTTAAATGTTTTGTATATATATCGAATAAAGTTGCGAAACAGTATTCAAAGTATTTTATTACTACCTTTTATTATGCACTTGCAGAAATCTCAAGGATACGGACAAACAACCTTTTATGGATGTTGCGGAAAAACTACGAAAAACTCATAAGCAAGAACATCCTGATTATAAATACCAGCCAAGAAGGAAGAAAGGTCGTAATTTAGCGACGACTACAGCTCAATGCAATGGCGGCTCAAAGTCAAGTTTAATGCCACAAAACACATTAAACGCAACAGTGACAGAAAATGCAGCCATTGTTGAGGATAAATGTAGTAATAGCACAAATGTTCGAACAAGAACTTCTGATAGTCACTTGCTTAGCAATCGATTAAATGCCAAACAACAGCGACAGCAAACACAATTGCAACAACAACATGTGAATAGAAATACAAATGTATTACATGCAGAGATAAGTGCACTTAACAATGAAGCATTAATGGAAAACTTAAGTAGTGCATGTAAAGCCACTTTACTTACGCAGAATCATGATTTGCATGACGTATTAATGGCTTTACCAAAATGCGGTAACGCTGAAAGCTTAGATTCCACTGGGAAACGTTGCGATTATGCGGCGAAACGTTTAGATTCTCCCTGTTCAACGACAAGTTCATTGCCCTCGACAGGTGCCAGCGCCACAGATGGTCAACCTTTAACCCCACCAGCTACACCATATGCCCGTTCCCTTTTAGGTCAAACGTCGGTGGGACGTACGACACATATGCCGCAAATAGTTGATAGTTCAACTGCTGAATACAATTTGCTAAATATTGAGGGACGAGAATTTATAACATTGGATGATTGTCAGTTTGGTTCAAGCATAAATGCATCATCGTCTGAAAGATTGACTGACGAGCTACCTTCCTATTCAATGCAATTTTCCGCAAATCGTTCATATATACCGCAAAATTCCTTAGAATTTCAACCGTATGGCTCAAGTTGTGGTTATGCTTTACCGTCTGTTTCTTCGTCCGTTATATTTAGCAATGTTGAGTGTGGCTCATCGCCTACGTCACACACCATCGAACCGATAAATTACTTTAACATGCCCTCTCCGATAACAACAAAGAGTAGCGAACGCGTGGTAGTACATACAACCGCAGAACATGGAAATGATTATTTGGCGCCGATGGCGGCCTCTCTTCAAACCACAACCACTACGCATGATGAAGACATTGAAGTTGATATAGATGAACAATACTTTATGGAACAAATAATACCATCAGTACCGAACAATAATCATATAGAACATAGAAATATTGCAACCACTACAACAATGTTAAATACTACACCTACGAATGCTTCCACGAGGGCGATGACTACATTAGCTTCAACGTTATCAACATCTGGCTCCGCAAATATAACTAATTCCGCAAAATCGTCGCTACAGCATAAAATTCACCATAACACACACATGTTACCATCATCAGAAACTACAGGACTACAAGCGAAGGCATTGGTTGAGCCGTCCTTGACATCATCGTTAAAATGTAATAGTATTGCAAATCATTCACCAATAGTCGCACCTTCGCACGGCAGTGACAATTTCAATTGCCTCTATTCAATATCACAGCATACCCATGCGACTTTAACGGCGGCGACAACAAAAGCAACGGCAACAACAATACATACACTAAGCGCACACCAGCAAGACCAATTGTGTTCAATGTATGGAATGGAAGGCCAACAACAACAGCATTGCTATGAACATCATAGCCATCATGAGCAAAGCATGCAGCAGCAGGAACACCAAGCGATTAGTGATATTCCGGGACCATTAACGGTGCGAAAAGTATCACCTTTGCATTCACAATCACTTTGTTATTCACCTACGCAACAAGTTCTATGGAATGGTTACGTGCAACCGTAATAAATTTATTTTAATTAAAGTAAAGTATTTGCTTCATCTGCGTACAATGCATTACGATATCCGTGCATGTGTATATAGTATATATATACATATTTATATATATGTAATATAATATGTAATATTAAATTATCTACTCCTTATGTGTATAGAGTCATCGGGTTTAAGGGTTAATTCAGTAAAGCGAAAACCATTATGATTGCAAGAATATATAAGATTTCAATTTCATGAACTATATGAATATTTTCTTCTCTATGATAAACGGTTAATATAAATATAAATTTACCTTGAAATTAAAGTTTAATTTAATTAAATATTAACTGAAAATATTGTCGTGAAAATAAGTTCGTGTAAGTAAGTTCTACTTAACATCAGCGATAAACTCAAGAATCTTTTAAATATTTATTTATATTTTTAAGGAAATATAACGCATAGGTTTTGGAAGATTGGCGATGTCTGCAATGGGATATAATTACAAGGTTGAACAATGTTATACAAATCCATTTGGGTTAAGCATAAAATTATCATAAATGAAAATGCATCTAACTGCGGCTTAAAATCTGATCATAGTGAAATTATAACGGGATCTATTTTCATTTACAGCGGCTTTCTACTTAACCTTTTAAAACGCATTGGAGTGCTTCAGTGCAGATAAAATTCGATTACATTAGGCTTAATTCTGGTCATGTTGGATCAATTGCTTTATTTGTAAAGTGAAGAGGAGCGTTTGCTCGCTTGTTGTAAATTTAAATGTTACAAAATTAAGGATGGATTGTCAAAACCATATTTATTAATAATCAGTCGATTATCTTTAGAATGGAAGGAAGCAACCAGTCCTTGTTCAGTGCAATGATTATAATGTTTGCCTCATGTAACAAATGCAAAAATCTCTCTTAAGAAAACAAAAAAAAAAAAAAAAATTTTGTAATCAATCAATTTAAAGCAATAGCAGGTTCGTTTAGTAGATTTGATAGAGGTAAGCTATTCTGTTGGAAAGTGCTCCAAGAAGCTTTCGTTTATGTTGACAGAAAATTAGTAAAGGAAAATGTTATTTACTTAAAGAGAAACGTCCTGAAAAAATCGTATTTTTGACAATTTTTTCCTGGAATGGGAAGGAAGATGATGTAATAATAGCACACAGATGGATTATTCAGCGTATAATTTTTAAAAATCAATAAAGATATATTTTTGAAATATATATATGAATTAAAAAAATGGCAAGTCTGGGGCCCACACCAAAGATGAAACAAGTATTACGGAGTGGGATCTAGATTTGTGGAAAGAAGTATTATTAGAGAGTTGCGTTAAAACATAATAGATAAAACATAGAAAGGCATACAGTTTGTGCGTTGTTCAGAAAGTGAAGCATTTAATGTAAATTATATCCAGAAAATCATCATCGCACATTTTTTTTTTTCTAATATGAATCAATCACTTCATTATTCGTGTAATATTTTGATGGCCAAAAAGAAATGAGGTAAGAGAAAGAGACAAGGAAGTGGCTACCAACGGAGCACTTACTTTAACTACGAACAAAGTGAACTCTATTTACCGCATTGAGATATGATTCCGCCAAGACAGACTTGGCAGTCAAGATTCTTACCTGCTCTGCTATTCATGCGGACGTAATCGAAATACTATAATAATAATCATAATCTCGGACGATTTTGCTATCATAATGTAGAGTTCATTGGAGAAAAATGGAAACGAAATGAAAAGTTTCCAATCCCTAGACTTGCACAATGCATTAATATACTCTGGCTGATTATGACGCAACAAGCAAAAGTTATTGTAAAAAATTTACGAAGCAACAGTTAAACTTGAAAACGATCAATTTTTATCAATTATCATGATTTACTCTAATTTTTTTTTTGAATTAATTATCATAACTTTTGTCCATTGCCTGAAAAATATGTATCACGCGGATATTTTCAAAACGTGAGCGTAAACATGCGAACCTACTACGGTAAATAACATCCGTAAAAGCAATTTTTAATAAAATTTAATTTAAATTTAATTCATATTTTTACAATGCGCTTATTATCCCTGCTCTGATCCTTGGTGTGATATTTTGTTATATATATTTATATACATATATATAATTTTGAACAAATCTAGAAATATACAATTACATGCATTCATCATCTTCTACTTGTTATAACTTGTCGTTAGTATTGCATTGCTGATGCAAAAAATCGAAATTATGTGAAATGAAAAAAAAAACAAGTAAAATAAAATATATTTTCTTTAGCCGGGACGGGAAATTGTAAATAAGTATATTTTAGCGTATCTATGTAAATGTCACCAATTCCTAATAAATCCATGTCAAAGGATAAAAGGGCAAATAGTCCAATGAATTATGTCTCTTGCTGTTATACGATGTGAATAATACATAAGTTAGTAGTGAAAAAAAACAAAAACAACAAAAAAAAAAAAGAAATCAAAAGAAAATAAAAAAAACTTCCTTTTTTTTCTTTCTCATTCAGCGTAAGGAATATTTATATAAAAGGTAGCTTTATTTCATTGTTGTTGTTGTTGTTGTTTTTTTTTTTTTGCTTTTGCCAGTATGTTTATTTCCTTTTTCCATTGTGCTGAAGGAAATGTAAATGGAATAAATTCAAATTAAATTCAGTGTAAATGCTTGTATTAAAAGCTTTCAAAGCAATGGAATGCCAAGGAGACGGAACAAAAACTTTTAAGTGTGTGCAAAGAGTGTGTTTCAAAATGTGGCAGGACGGCATGGTGTGTGACGACCAGAGAGATAAGTGTATTATTTTAATGCAATTCTATTTAATTCCGCTAACGTTTACACTGAACATATTTCACACTGCGAATATATAAAAAAAGTTCCTTTACTTTTGCAACATTTTGAAATAAATGCAACGAATGTACATTTTTTTTTTTTTTTTTTTCTTTACATTACAATGAAGTCCTTTAGCATAATATATGTGTTCATAACGTTCAGCTTGTAAAGAAATACGTAAGTAAAAGGCTTGTTCAACTATATTTTTGATTGAAGAGAATCGTAAAATTTTGTAACTGAAGGCCTATCTAAAGAATTGAATCCAGGCTTAAATTCGAAGAAAAATTTCATCAAATTGGTTAACAAATTTGCTCGAGATGAACCAACATGTAAATGATTTAGTTCGGTGTTCTACAGATACATACATATATATTGCATAACAATATATAATAATATATAAATACATACATATATATTAATCCGTTCTATTATTGTTCGATTACGTACTTATCAGTTAATTAAAAACATATTGTTAAGTCCGTGGACACTGCAATTTATTGTATTATGATGAAATTACTATATGTAAATGAATGTAAAACTAATTAATCCAGTGAATGGATTACAAAACATTGAAACTCTCTTCCTTAATTTATTGGTGCTCACAGACACACACACACACACACATTAAAACAGATATCTAAAACAGAAGTAATATATTTAATTATCTAGTCAAAGCCAGAAACCTTTATGTAACGCAATATTACATTAATGTGGTCAAAAGGTTAGACTGTTGAAGGTTGTAAAGGATAAACGTACGTGGCATTATAAAGCTACGCAGTTCGATAGTTAGAGGGGTTCACTTTTTCTCCGACAAACATTTTACAGACTGCTACACTCAAGTAATACGCGCAGAAACTCTTACCAAGGCGGACGGACGGATACTTGTCTACCGGACGGGATGATCAAGAGTAGTCATTAATTCAGAAACGCATACACAGACAAACGAATAGTATTAAATTTAATAAAATAATCGTAATACGGTAGCAGCAGTGTGAATGTAACATGGAGCATTTGTTAGTAATACAAAAAAAAAAAAAAAAATGTTATTTAAGAGAAATGTAAATTTGAAAATTCGTATTAAACACCTTTACGTATTGTAATTAGTGAAAGAGTAAAGTTTTAATTATGTATGCATTTGAAAATAGCTAAGCCACGATTGACTTGAATTAAAAAATGCTACAGAGATAAGCCTCTAATTTGCGTGAATTAATATAAAACATAATTAGATCACTTACAGGGTACAAGTTATATTAAGTTTGTGCGGACGCATGTAGCACTCACAAGGGCTTAAGATAGACCCCCGTTTCATTATGTCATTTATTTAATATTTTGATGAAATTTATCTTTACTGACTTGTTTTGACCCAAGGACGAACGCTATTGTAAATGGTTCCGATCAGTCCAATTTTTAAAACACTGCCTATATAACGCCTTGTATTGAAAAAATTGCGATTTTCAAAATTTCTCGACAAAACACGCTGAGTATTAATAGTACGATTGCCACATTGTATAGGGACACGGAAAATTTGGTTCGGCTGCGGTTTATTTTCTGGATAGCACAGCCTATAAGGATTTCCAAGAAACGTAAACTGTATGTGTAAGGATTGTTAAGGTTTTTCTAATGAAAACTTGTTCATGAAAGTAACAATTAAGCAGACTACGGATCCATTTTTTGGACGCCAATCTATATAAGATTTCTCATGAACAGTAAGTCGTTCAGAAAAAGTTTTAATTTTTAATTAGTTCATAATAGCGCCTACCATTGACAATATCTTTCTTCGACATTGCCAAGCTATAAAAGTTTCATTAAGTGTGTCAGTTATTATTTGGTTTAGTCGAGCAGCTAATGATAAAAACTTGAAATACATTGCAGAGGTTTTGCACTATGGCAAAGGAGAAAAAGGTTTAAATATTAGGAAAATATTTATATTAGTCACATATTCTTGCGTTTGCATCAGGGTCTGCTGCAAGATCGAGCTTAATTTGGCGCGGAATGTAAAAAATTATTATTAGTCCGTTTTGCTCCAGCTTTATTTTTCATTCCCTACATTTGCAATTGTAGCCGGTAGACGAACACAGCAATAAGTTATCTTTAGATTCAATGTTAAGTTAAATGTAATCAAGATGTAATCTCTCCTTCGTTGTATCATTACGAAACGAATCAAAAAAAACAAAATCTTAGGTATTGTCCGAAAGAGTAT